TAATTAACATGAGAGCTGTTTGGTAAAATCTTATTCCTGAATATGGAAATTATATCCAAAGATTTGACTCTGAAATTAATGGTATTCTAGAAGAAATTTCACAACTTGGATCCAAGAATAACTAAAATAAATAAGGAAGATATTCAAGAATTCCTCCAGTTTTGTGATAATGCCTCTACTAATAAAGAACTTATTAATCTGAATGCAGAATGACCATATAAAGCTCAGAGTGATAACATTGGAGATGAAGAAATTAAAACAGCAATGAAAGAATTCGCAATAAAAGAACTTTATAAAATGTTTTATGTCCGTAAATCTTTTTAAAATCGCCATTCATTATGTTAAACATCTAATAAAAGAGCGCCAAGTAAGGCTGTATCTCCCTTTGTGGATCGCCCATGCATGGCGTTGCGTACCCAATAAAACAAACAGAAGCAATTTTTATGAACAGGAAAAAAAGTCTATTTTATCTAGAAAAAAACTGTGTAATTAATAAGAAAAGTTAATTACATTATTAATTAACTTAATCAATAATAAAATATTTGAAATTGTTAGATAAAAATTCGTATTGTTCGATTATAAGACTGAAAGATTCATTATCTGAAAGAGAAGATTCTGAAGAGTTGAACGAATTTATAGAAAAGAAAACAATGGCAAACGACGTAAACATGGTTTTCAAGATATTCTGGTCATGTTTTTGGATAATGGCACTGATATATTTCGCGTATCCCATCTCGTCATTTTGCTCGGGGTGGTATTCAATGCTATCTCCTCTTCTGGCTTTCCTAGAAATGCATCGATTGTTAGAATTCCTGTTGGGATGCATCAATTTACCATTCGTCTTCGCAATATACGCTAAAGAGAGCACCCCGCTTTCGAGTACCTTACCCAGGGATCGCTTACAAATAGACGAAGAGGAAGAGAACGATTAAATTTTATCATCAAATGTATAAAGGCCGAAAAAATCTTATTAAAATTCAATTTCGTTAGAAAAATAAAATTCTCTTCTATAAATTAAATAAAAATTTTAATTTAAAGTAAACTGTAAAAAAAAAAAAAAACTTAAAATTTTATTAAATTTTTACGAGATTTTTTACATTTGTTTATATTTTTAATAACAGATGGCAGCACAGCGCAATTATGAATAATTTTAATATTTTTATAAAATATTTTTTTTTTATAGAAATTGCATTTACCGTTTTAATAAAGAATAAAGTCTATTCCACTTTCAAGTTATTTGCAAGTGAAATGATGCAATGATGCAAGTTCGCGATACACTGTAATTCGCGCCAATATAGTCTACATCGTTTAGTACATATAGGACTAGGCATATTGTAGATTAATTAAACACAATAAACTCTAGATAAACCAAATATATTCCCATTTATGTCCGCTGAAATATATCCTTTATAAAACGATCTGCGACCTTTCAAAGTTTCGGAACCACTCTTCTAGCGAGATGTGATTAGGAGAACGAACAATATATTCATTCCATCTCTCAACATCACACGGTCGAACCCGTAACGAAGGTTTTCTTTATAGAAACTTGGCTTTTTCTTTCTTTCTTTTTCTAGCAAAAATTATGATTGTATTGNAAAAAAAAAAAACTAGAAATATCTGTTCATGTTCTACAGATTTTAATCTTTTATTTACTATTTTAAAACTTTTAAATAAAATAATTATATTATATTAAAGAAAATTTCATTTATTTTTATATTTAACTTTTAAATTTCTAATTCTTTTACAAATTTATTCATAAAAGTAATAAATCTTAAATAATTTTTCGTTTATAAACATTTTGAGGTATAATTTTATAAATACAGTCGAATTTCCAATAATGGCTACCTCTAAACAGCCGCCATTTTTTTTAGGGATATATTTTTTTTGGGGGAAAAAATGTATACAAAATAACCTCTAAACGGCAGCCATTTTTTTTTACATAAATATATTTGTGGGGAACAAAAATGCATACAAAAATAACCACTAAACGGCGGCCATCTTTGAATAACAGCGGCCATTTTCTTTATTTATGTTCTAGTCAGTGGACATTGTTCGGAAGTTTGACTTTATTTAGAATTTAAAAAAATATAAAAATAATCAACGTATATTTTTATTTTCTTGACGTTTATTCCATTTAAAATGCATATCATTTATTATTATTAATTTTTTTTCTATTGTGGTGTTATCTATATTTAAAAATATTCTGAAACCTGCACTATATTTAAGAATTTAATTATGTTAGATAAATTTAGAAAACGATACAAATGATTTATAAATATAAAATGGCAGCTTAAAACATTAATAAAATGGAGCATAAATTAGTATTCCGATCATTTATCTTAATCATAATAGAAATTTAAGTATTTATGGCACTAAACAGCGAGACTTTTTAAGCTTAAATATTCGTATAAAATTATAAATTTTAAATTATATTTTAAAAGATTTTTTAAAAAAAATTTTATCTTCAGATCTAATCTTTAAAATAAAGAGCAATAAATCATCCTCGCTTTGCTGATAATTTTTATTGCAAAAAAATAAAAAGAAAATTGTATGAATTATTAGTAAAATATGCGAATTTTTATGTATTTTAAACATATTTTTTTCGCATATTTTCGATGGTAATTATCATTTTTCCTCCTCTCATTTATTGTAAAAGGATCTGTGCATAAACAATACAAAATATATGAGTTCATTATAAATGATTTATGTTCTCGTAATGATGAGCTCTCATATCTTCTACAATGAATCAAAAATCATAAATATCTTCTGAAATTACCCTTCATAATATGTTTTTCTTATACATGCATTATCAATATGAATATTAAAAAAAAAAAAAAAGATATTTTAAATATAAAATTATAAAATATTGTAGTACACTAACAGGTCTTTTAATGGCTCTAATTCTCACGTGGCCATTTTAATCATGTCCGATAATAGAAGCGATTAAAATGGCCAGGCCCACAATTTAATGAAGGAGTAGGGCCTTACATATCCGGTACAGATCACCTCTCTCGTAAAATTCATGGGATTTTTGGATCCATAGTAAGGTGGTTTGATGCTTTAGTCGATTCAGCATCCAATCAGTTACTAAATTAATAATTTATATTTATTCTTTACCGCGATTTAGTTATCAATCTTTAATCGAATGCAATAACACTCTACTCTAAAAGAGTTTTCTTCCCCCCTTTGCACAATGTCGAGGAGAGTTAAAATTTCAAAGATCACACAATAACCCTATAGTTACTGTATTATTAAAGCTGTTGAAAATAATTGGTACTCAATTAGAACTCGTTAACCGACTCAATTGAAGCTTTTGAAGTTGGTTTTACATACCTTCTACATTTAGTTACTTTAAATATAGTAACAAAATTAATAAATTAAGTTGTCTGGATATAGAAAGAGACATTCATTGTCATTTATCTATTCCTTTAGATTATTATACTTCAAAATTTCAACAACATTCTTCTCGTTTATAAAATAAGATTCAATAATTACATACGGTTTTTAATGTCTTAATTTATATTTTTATTTATGTTTCTTTTTAAATATCAAACAAATCTTAATATAAACAAATAAAATATTGTTTTATTGGTTTGGTAATTAAAATTGTATTGAGAAACCTTTGAAATTTCGTAAAATGTATTTGAAATATTGCAAATTTTATGCATTAAACCTAATATATTTTTTTATTTGTGAGTGTATAGGTGTTGTTTGTGTAGGCTGTGTTGGGTTGTGTGTAGATGTATTATGTGTATAAGAAAAAAAATAATAAGTTAATTCTAAAAGTAATTTAATTATTTCTGTGAAAGAAAATCTTATCTATTATTATTATTATATTTTTCTCAACAGTTGGTACTGTATTATAATATTTCCACCTTTACATATAACTGATATCGCACTTGGCAATGTTTCAATTCAAAGAAGATGGGGTTAATATATGTCTCAACTTTACTAACGAATTTAAATTGAATCTATTTTAAATACAGGAAGCTTATATTATACGTGCATAAATTCAAATATATTATATTCTTAATATAACTTTATAATATTACTGCATACGTATAAAAATATATAGCCTATATTCGACTAAAACAATAACAGAAGATATTACAAATACAAAATTTCTAAAGAGGTACGTCGTTTAATTAACATTTAAACATTAAATATGCTTTAATTTACAACGTAATTGCATCATCAAATATCTTTCACACATTTAAAATTGTCTGAGAAATTAGTTTAAGCTTAAAATTATGCAAAAAGTTTGGCTTTCAACAAAGATTTCGTCACGTATCTAATAGTATTGTTTATTCAGCGAAAACATTTTTTAATATTTCAACATATTCGAGTGACGTTTTTCTTTTTATTTTATTATTTAAATTCAAGGATTTATTCTAATTAAGCGTAAAAGGATATCATCTTCACCGGTTATTAAGATCAATATCAGATTTTTAAATATCTTTACCACACCCAATGACAATCATAAAAGAACCAAAAAAAAAAAAAAATTTTTTTTTCTTCCCCTCCCAAGAAAATTACCCTATAAAAAATTTACCTAAAAATAACTTAAAAATGTCAATATTTTTTTCTCATTTTTAAAATAAATATANACAGGCAATTTGATGTGTCGAATAAATTTGAATGTCCCCTAACAACAACATATAAACTTTATTCTAATTACATTTCGTATTTTTCTAGTTTTACGATTGTTTTTTTATTTAAAGAAAGAGGCTTTATTTTCCTAGAAATAAGTGGATACGAAGAAGAGGAACAAATGGCAGACTGTATTCGAATATTTTTTATCTGTGGCCTTACACTTTTATTTTTTTCGATAATTACAAGTATTACTGCAATTGACTCGTTCCTACTTTAAGGAACAATCAATTCAGAGTTTGAGCTCGAATTACGTAACCTGAACCTTATAATATAATCGAGATGGGTTGATGAGGATAATAATAATAATAATAATAATAAGATAAATAGGATTTTTTTAAATTACATACCGAACAATATAGTCTGCCATTTTGCGCTTGTAAAAATTAAAGTGAATCCATAAAGAGCTCCGATGTGTAGAAAAGCAAATAGTATGACGTTTCTCCAGACAATATTTAGTTCTTGTTTAGGAGTTGCACGCTTTGGAGGTGTAACAGTCTCTGTCACAGTCGACTGAGCATTAGGAGCCATAATCTATAAAAATAAATAAACGTCACCATTAAAAAAAAAAAAAAAAAGCCCAAAAAAGCCTAATACAACAGGAGATTCGAGACTAACAACTCAACAGGCTGCTTGGTAGTAAGATTTTGAGCCTGTTTGTATGATAAACACGAAAACAAGATTATATTTAAATATCTGAAATAATCCTTTGATTAATTAAATTTCGTCGAGTTTAAAAATTCTACTTAAAAGAAGCATCGTAAGGTTGGAAAAAAAACATTATCAGGAAGCCGTACAGGATACACACACAAATATATAATCCCTAGAATATATTAGAAAATACATCAAACTCATCTCTTCCGGTTTTAAGAGACGTTAACATTGGATTGTATCCAAAATTTCTTAACTTCCTACTTAAGCTTATGCAATAAATGATATATGAAATGAAATTATATTTAGAATATTATTAAAAATATCATATATAAATTTATTATTATAATAAACTACGATCTGACAAACGTACAGACAAGAAAAAAAAAATCGAAATTGTTATACTGTATACATTTAATTATTACGACAATAGATGTTATTACATGAAAATAAGGAAAAGAATATCTAATTTAATATATATATATATATATATATTAAATCTCTAAA